AGTTTCATAGAAGTACAACCTTCTTCCAACAAAAATATCCAGGCAATTCCATTAAATAAATCATCAGAAAGACTTACAGATACATTGCTTAAGAAACAAAGGAAAGAACATGGTTTCATGCATCTTCCTCAAGCAGAAAATTCTATTAGTAAAACAGAGTTTCAAGACCCATATAAGTGGGGTAGTAAATCAAAAACAACTCAATCAAAAGCTAACTTTGAAAGGACACTGAAAATGACACCACTTGAAAAAAAGGATCATATTAACATCTGTAAGTTGACTGGTTGGGAAAAACCTGAAGCAGTATTGTCATCGTATCCAGGAATTCCTAATTGCAAAATGCCAAGGGAAGATGAAGAATACTTAAACAAACTCACTTTCCCTTCTTGGCAGACTAACACTTTAACTCATTTCAGTTCAGAGCCTGGGGAGAAATCAAAACTAGAAGACCAGTATTGTCAGAGATGGAAAGGAAATAACAACAATAATAAAAAACATTTAGTAACATTTGCACAATACAAAAAAGAAATACAAATTCATGATATAAATGCAAATGAAATTTACAATGAAAAATATGCCAAGTTCCCTGAATCACAGTTGTTCAAATATAAAGTTGTAGAAGATGAGAAAAATTCAAAACCATCCCTCCTCCCAGAAATATTGAAGAGAGAAAATCTGAAACCCAAGGTCAGAAGAGAAAGAGATTATGTTGCCAAACCCAAAAAGTCATTTAACAAGATAGTTAGGATACTGCCAACCACACTGCCTGCGACAAGAATTCACCTAAGGAAATCTGTTCCAAAGACATTGCTTCACTGGACTGCAAGAAAAACTATACATGTAATAATGTTTTTCTAAATGTTCTACTTCTGTATTTGGCAAAGTTCTGTAAATAATTTACTTTAGGGTATATATGTCTGCATGAAAGTGTGTGTGTAGCTTTAATTGCCCCCAAGAAATACAGACCTCCAAATTTAAAAATTCTCCTGAAATTTAAATATCACTTCATCTGATTTAAAATACAATCATGAAATGGAGGTGGAGAGGAAAATGTTAACACACTTGTTAGTACCATTTTATGAAATAAATAAAGGGCACTCTTTTTGGAGCATGAATTACAAAAGGCGCCCTTTCCTCTGACACAGCCTTGAGCCAGAGCACACAGCCCTGCCTGTGGTAAAATGGCTGGACTTTAGCCCTCTATAAAATTAGCCAGAGGCTCTTGTAAGACACAACCTGTACAACCACTGGCAGTGTCCATATTCTGTAGAAACATAGCTGGGATTTTCTTTTCACCGAGATATAACTATAAATATATAGGTGTTTTTCACATAGCTGAATTATCTTTGTTTCAGTAAATGAATATGAAACTCCTACTATGTGCCAGTTATTCTGCTAAAAATTAGGGATATGCAACATTTATAATCTTTTGGATTATGAATTTCACAATTTTAATTTAACTTCTTAGTCTTTTCTTCTTTCATCACCACCCCTCTGCTATATCATGTGCTGAGAAACTTGGGAATTCAAATTTATTTTTAATATTAACATAAAACAATTAGAAAGGTAAATATGCTGCTAGGTTTTA